TTTTTTTTTTTTGGGGGCCCTTTTAAAATTATTTTAAGGGTTTGGGGTTTTTGGGGGTTATTATTTTGGGGAAATTTTTTTTTTGGGGGGGGATTTTTAAAAAAAGGGGGGGGTTTTTTATTAAATTTTTATTTTTTAAAATTTTTTATTTTAAAATTATTTTTTAAAAAAATTTTTAAATTTTTTTTAATTAATGGGTTTATTTAAAATTTAAAATTTTTTTTAAAAATTTTTGGGTTTTTTTTTTGGGGGGGTTAAAATTGGTTTTAATTTTAAAATTAAAAGGGGGGAAAAAAATTTTAAAGGGAAAAGGAAAATTTTTTTAAAGGAAAATTAAAAAAAATTTTATTAAAAAATTTTTTTTTTTTTAAAAAAAAGGGGGGGGGGGAAAAAATTTTTTTTATTATTATTATTTTTTTTTGGGGGGGGGGATTTTTTAATTATTATTAAATTTTTTTTAAAATTTTTTTTGGGGGGGGGTTTTTTTTTTTTTTTTTTTTTTTGGGGGGGGGGGTTTAATTTTATTTTTTTTTTTTTTTGGGGGGGGGGGGGGGATTTTTGGGGGGGGAAAAAAAAAGGGGTTTTAAAAAAGGGGGGGGAAAAGGGGAAAATTTTTTATTATTATGCATTTATGAAATTATTATTGGGGGTTTTTTTTTTTTTTATTTTTTTAAATTAATTTTTTTTTGGGGGGGGGGGAAAAAAAAAAAATTTTTTTTAAAATTATATTTTTTTTTGGTTAAAATTTTTCCCCCCCGGGGGGGGGGGGGGTTATTTTTTGGGGGGGTTTTTTCCCCCCCTTTTTTGGGGGGGGGTTTTTTTCCCCCCTTTTTTTTCCCCCCCCCAAAAAATTCCAAACCCCTTTTCCCCCTTCCCTTTTCCCCCCCCCTTTTTTTAATTATTATGGGGGGATTCCGGGGGGAAAAATTATGGGTTTTTTTTTTTAAATTTTTTTTTTTTTTTTTTTGGGGTAAAAATTAAAAAATTTTTTAAAAAATTTTTAAAAAAAGGGGGGGGGGTTTTTTTTTTTAAAAAACCCCTTTTTTTTTTTAAAAAAAAAATTATTAATTAAAAGGGGGGGGGGGGGGTTTTATTAAATTTGGGGTTTTTTTTATTTTTTTTATTTTTTTTTTTTTTTTTTTATTTAAAAGGGGGTTTTTTTAAAAATTTTTTTTAAAAAAATTTTTTTTTATGGATATTATTTTTGGGGGGGAAAATTATTGGGGGTTTTTTTTTAAAAATTATTTTTGGGGGGTTTTTTAAAAAATTTTTTTAATTATTATTTTTTTTTTTTTTTTAAATTAATTTTTAAATTATGGATTAAAATTTTTTTTTTTGGGGGGGGGGGAAAAAATTTAATTGGGTTTTTTTTTTTAACATTAAAGGGGTTTTTTGGGGGGGGATTTTTTTTTTTAAAATTATTGGGGTTTTTTTTCCGGGGGTTTTTTTTATTAATTTTTTTTATGGGTTTTAAAAAAAATTTTTTTTTTTTTGGGGGGGGTTTTTAAACTTTTTTTGGGGGGGGGGGGGAAAAAAAAAAAAAAAAAATTTTAAATTTTTTATTAAAAAAAAAATTTCCCCCCCCTTTTTTTTTTTTTTCCCCCCCATCTTTTTTTTTCCAAACCTTTTTTCCTATTATTAAAGGAAAAAAAACCCCCTTTTTTAAAATTTTTTTAAAATTTTTTATTTTTCCAAAAAATTTTTTTTTTACCCCCCCAAATTTTTTGGAAACCCCCATTTCCCCCCTTTTTTTTAAAATTTTTTTAAATTTTTTTTTTTTTAAAAAAAAGCACAATTTTAAAAAAATTTTTTTTTAAAAACCCGGGGTTTTTTTTAAACCCGGAAAAAACCCTTTAACCCCCCTTTTTTAAATTTCCCCTTAAAGGGGTTTTTTCCCTTTTTCCTTAAAAACCTTTTTCCCTTTTTTTTTCCTTTTTAAAAGGGGGGTTTTATTAAAAATTTTTTTTTTTAAAAAGGGGGGCCCCCCCTTTTTTTTCCTTTTTTTTTTTTTTAAAAAAAAAAAAAAATTTTTTTTTCATTTTTAAATTTTTTGGGGCCCCCCCCCCAAAAAAAATTTTTTTAAAAAAAAAAAAAGGATTGGGGGAAAATTTAAAAAAAAGGGGGAAAACCCCGGAAAAGGGGAAAAAAGGGGGGGGCCCCCCCCCCCCCCCCTTTTTTTTTCCCCCCTTTTTTTTTAAAAAAAAAAAAAAATTTTTCCCCAAAAACCAAAAAATTTTTTAATTTTAAATTTTTAAATTTTTTTTTTTTTTTAAAAAAAAAAAAAAAAAAAAAAAAAAATTTTTTTTTTTGGGGGTTTTTTAAAAAAAAAAACCTGGGGAAAATTTTTTTTATCCAAAATTTTGGTTTTTAAAATTTTTTCCCCTTTTTTAAAAAAAAAAAAATTTTTGGGGGTTTTTTTTTCCCCAAAAAGGGGGTTTTTTAAAAAAATTTTTTCCCGTTTTCCCAAAACCCCCAAAACTTTTGGGGGGCCCTTTTTGAAAAAATTTTTAAAAAAAAAAAAAAATTTTTTTAAAAAAATTTTTGGGGGGGGGCCCCCTTCCCAACCCCCCCCCCTGGAAAAAACCGGGGGAAAAAAGGGGGGGGGGGCCCCCCCCTTTTTTAAAAAAACCTTTTAAAAACCCCTCACGTCTTAATAAACGGCGCGGTTTGGATTGAACAAAGTGACTTCCTGTTGGTTTTCTGGAAGATTCAGCCGCATCAGTGACTCAGTCTAAAAATGTCGCTTTCTATGAGTAGATATATTGATAAAAACTAAATAAACATTAAAAAAGCTTGATTACATCAGTATTTCCTCGCTCTACTAAGGCCCTCCCATTCCTGCAGAGGTTTACCTGAACAATCATGGCTGCTGCGGACGTTCGTCGCTCTGCCAACATCAAGGACTCCTGAAGACGAACAGTTTGGAACCGGTTTGGGATATTTTTGATTGTGATGCAGAGAAACAGGAAGAAGCAGTGGCGGTTCTAGACCAAATGTTCCTGGGGTCCAGGAGGGGGCCAGTGTGTTTTCATGGGGGCCCATTAAGATAGCTGCATCAGCTGAAATTTCTATTCAATTACGTTTAATTTAAATTCTGTGTCTTATTAGGTCAACATACGTTCAGAACTTAGGAATTTTACATATTTTTGACGTCATTTAAGTTAGAATTATCGTTTTCTGTAAAATCTGAATTAGAACTCAAGAGAAACATAAACATATACAGTTTTTTAAAATTTGTTTAGAAAAAAATATTTAGCAGATGAAACCTGGGATCCTATCTTATTTCCCTCTGGATTTATCACCTTATTGTTTTTAAGTAATTTGTAAAACAGAATTTGTAAAGAAAATAATTAAATAGATCCAAAGGAGCTATCAGTTACCATGTCTGTTCCAGAGCAGATCATCATTGGAATTTCTTTGAGTATTATGTCTTCAGTACAGGGGCCATAACAGGGGCCAGGACATGATCTACAGGGGCCCCCGTTGGCCCTGTCTAGAACCAACCATGGGAAAGCAATGGATTCTGTTGGAGAGGGGTAGGTGGGTGGGGCTCTCACCCAAGGTCCCTGATCCAGACCCTCAACCCTGGAATAGAAAACAGGTGGTCTGAGAGGGGCGTGAAGGAAGCCATCTTTGTTATGAAAGACCAACCTTTCATAAAGACCCCCCTTTCTGTCATGATTGGTTTAATGAACGAAAACCCACATGCAGAACACTAACGTAGACAGAGGAAAGTTTAACAATGTTTATTTGGGAAACACACACAGAGTTAATCAGGAAGTGGTTCTGGTGCAGGTCCGGGACTGGCTACTCTTATATCTGGAGAGATGAGAGTTTGGTTAGCCAGGTGGTTATGGCTTGACGAGTGAGTTGAATTCTGATCGTACCTTGAAGAGGTTCTAACAGATCCTTTAAGAGGGGAACCGGTTGGGTCCAGAGACTGTGGAAGTAGCAGAGAGCTCAGCAGCAGCAGCGTCTAGCTTCTAGCCAGAGAGTTTTCGGACTTGGGTTTGTTTCCTAGCTCTTCCCAGAGAACTGACGGAGGAATCCAGACTGAGATCTTCAGGTTTGGCTTACGTGGGCAGGCAGGCAGATTTCCAGGTTATGCTCATCCAGAGCTTCAGACTTCAGTCGGGTTTCTGCGAGCAAAGAAGACAAGAACAAGTTAGAAGGCTAGTTTCTCTCAAGAGGCAACTAGTATTCACTAGGATTTCAGAGGCTCAGGTTCGCTAACCAAACTAGGTCAACACTGCGGCGTCGAAGGAAGGTCTGACTGCTGCTTATGTAGGGAGGTCTTCAGATGAGCTGATGATCCCCAGGTGTGCTGAGGACTCCAGCTCAGGAAGCCCACAGCGCTCTCTGCTGGAGACAGGTGGCAGATCTCCAGATCCCGACACTTTCAGAGACACAGATAGGTATGGGGAATTGTTAAGTTCATCAACCAGGATGACGACGAAAATATTTAATTACCGTCCCTTTTTCCCGGGACGATGACGCACAAAAATTGTGTCCAGGAAATAAAAATATGACGAGAATAAAAATTATTTTTGTTAACGAGACTATGACCAGATGAAACTTCTATCTATCTATTTATCTATCTATCTATCTATCTATCTATCTATCTATCTATCTATCTATCTATCTATCTATCTATCTATCTATCTATCTATCTATCTATCTATCTATCTATCTATCTATCTATCTATAAACATAAAGTTGATTATTATCAATCCTATAGAGTTGAGAAATTTCTCTTCTAAAATAATTTTTCCTCTTTTCCTCAGAGTTTTTTTCATGTTTGTTAGTTTTTTCTTTTTTAATTTCCTCCTCATCGGGCCTCTTCCTGCTCTCTCTCCGTTCTTCGTTTTTCCTGCTCTCCAGTTTCCAGCCCTCCTCTCCCGCCCCTCCCTCTCCCCTCTGGGTTTCCGTGGTTTTTCTGTGCATCTCCTCCTGGTTTGCGTCTGACTCGGTCTCTGATGTGTTTGTGTGTTTTCTGACAGGCCGGCCTTACATGGCCACGGAGTAAAGAGCCACACGCCTCCTGCCGGGTCTCAGATCCACTCAGGCCCTCCACAGAAGCTCAGACGGATAAAAAAAGGAGATCAGGAGGACGTCTGCAGACCTACACGCTCCTCCTCATCATCATCATCCTCTTCCTAACAGGTTAATAAGTCGAACAGCCGAGCAGGAGGCAGACAGTCTCACTTTGTTCCTGGATTTATTTCTTCTTCTCCAGATCCCTGCAGAAATAAACAAGGATATTAAAGAAGGACTTTATTATTATTTGGAGGCTCAGCTGGGTTTAGCTTCTAATCTTCAACATTAATAAAGAGGCTGTTGGATGTCAGCGGCTTGTTTTTGCCCTGAGGAGCGTCTGACAAACTGAATAAAAACAGTCTGATAAACAGGAAGCTCACCTGTCAGGTGTGACGCGTTCCTGTTTCCTTCTGAAACTTTTTTTTTTTTTGCCTCATGGCTTGACCCCTCCCTGACCTCTGACCCCTCCCCTCCCCCCCTCCCCCTCCTCCTCCCTCAACATGTCTAACCCACCTGCCTCTCGCCGCCCAGACAAGGTGGACCAGTGAGCCCCGCTTCACAGACCTCATTCTCCTGACAAGCCCCGCCCCCTCCCCAGAACACCTTGAGCACCTCAACACTGATGCAAGATGGCCGCCGGCGTGGCCACGTGGCTGCCGTTCGCGCGGGCGGCGGCAGTAGGCTGGCTGCCGCTGGCAAAGAAGACGATGCCCAAGCCGCCGGTGGACAACACGTCCAGATCCGATGAGATCCTGTACGTCAACGTCAGCGGCGTCCGCTTCCAGGTGGGTGCTGCCGTGACTAAAACGGACTCTATGAGCAGGTGATAGCTGGAGGGAAGGAAAATGTTCAATCTGATGCTTTATTTCCATCAAGCAAGAAAAAAAACAGACTCCAACACACAGACGGTCGGACCTAGATGGACGCTCGTTAGGCTCGTTAAGCTCGTTAGGCTCTGACCTCTGGGGTCAAACCAGAGAAGGTCTCCCTCCTCATTTATTCCAGCTGCAGGACTAGTCTGGTGGGCCTGATGGTTTAGAAAAGCTTGATTTGTTTATGTAGAATCTGTTACTGCTGCAGGTCCCTCCCTTCGTTTTATTTTTGGGTGTTTTAGGAAACAGTATTCTTCTTATTTGTCTTCCTCTTCTTCATCGTCTTCTTGTTCTTCCTCTTGGTTCCGCTGACACCCATCAGGAAGCTTCTGTCGGGTTCCTGCTGTATTCTAAACTAAAATGAGCCCAAATTGAAGGAAGAGCCAAAGTCGTCTTCATTCTGGAACATGAATTGTAGATCTTTAAAACCAGAGCAGCGGTCACCTCTGCAGACCAGGTGTAGAGGTCGAGCAGCGAGAGTAAGCTCGGCTGCTGATTGGTGGGTAGCTACAGGTGGTTCCGCTTGCTCTAGATAAGGTTCTGGTCTTAGCTTAAAAAAAATACCTTCTAACAGTTTTAAACCAATCGTACTGGGAGCAGGGACGGAGCTAGTGAGGGGGCCAGGGGTGGCCACCCTTAAGCAATTATTGGCCACCCCGGTGGCAACGCAGTGGTGGGACTATATGGAAACATCCAGGGCTGTAGCCCAAGTAGCATTGGATTCAAAGGTTCTCCAGAATCATCATGAGAAAATTTAGCTAGAAGATTAACTAAAAAAAAAGCTGCAATATTAGAATTAAGCAGAGAAAGGAAAGCTGGTCCCTATGTCCGCCAGCAGTCTAAGCCTATAGCAGCACTAGTATAGTATCTATACTAGTTAGTGCTATCTATAGCACTATCTACTATAGATGGCTCAGGATTATCACCTCTGACTGTTGCTGCTCTGTTCAGCAGCACTGAGATGTTTGCTGGTATCTGTTCTGATCCAAGGTGGATAAGGCATGCGGGACAAAGTTCTGTCCGGTTCTGCTGAGGTTCTGTATGACTGGTTTCTTCCTGAAGGATGAATCTGAACCAGAACCGATGTATAGCTGCTCCAGTAGGTCTGACCTCTGGTCTACTTCCTGTTGGATGGGAGCTATCGGACCACTCCAGACCTCTACAGCTCCTACACCAGAAGCTCAGTTCAGCTGATTGGATTTGGGAACCGGTCCCAGCCCTCACGCCATTAGAACTCCAGCAGAACCAGATCCTCTGCGAAAAGAACGCCCAGTGTCTGCTGCTTCAGATCTTCTCCATGAGGAACAGGACTGGGGATCAGGAGGCAGACCTGAAAGGGTCCAACAGAACCTTCACTTTAACTAGGTTCTGTTTGACTGGATCCGGTCTGGGCCGACTCCATTTAGCAATGAGAAAGATGAGCTTCTGAAGGGGAGAGGAAGAAAGTCACCTTCTGCCTCTCAGCGAGGTTCTGTTTCAGTCCTAAAAGCTTTCAGGATTCTGGACATTCGGTTTAGATTCTGGTCCGATTTCTGTATCCGCCTCATGCAGCAGGTTTCTATGGTTAAACCTTAATGGAAAAGTGGGAGGTTTTCCACTTGCAGGTTCTTCCGTTGCTCCGATTGGACCAGTTCAGTAGTTGTTCATGAATCTTTCTAAATGAGGCAGAACTCATGTGGTGTTATCATAAACCCTCTCCTCCTCCAAGTGTTCCCATCGCTGGACTTTGTCAGCAGCACCAGGCTGGTTGCCAGCTCCAGTACCGCTGCCAGAGAGTCGTCCTGCCACGGCCTGCTGCAGCTCTGCTCCTGATTCTGCATGTGGAATCAGAACGTCCATTTGGAAAGAAATGGAGAATGAATGGTTCCATAACAAAACTCTGTTTTTAGCAGCTGTGAAAACACACGGTTGCTACTTCTGCATCTCAGTGAGTTCACTGCCCCATTCTAACATGGGCCCATGTTCCTGGCAGGTCAGTTGGGTTGTCTTCCAGCTTGTTATTAGTCTTTCTGCAACCAAACAGCTGAGAAAGATTTATCTCAGGTTGTTTCCTTTCTAATAATTATCTATTATATGACAAAAAAGCAGAGATAACATTTAGTTAGAAGATTAACAAACAAAAGCTAGAGAATTGGAGAATATTAGAATGAAGCAGAGAAAAGAAAGCTGGTTCCTTTGTCCTCCGGCAGTCTAAGCCTATAGCAGCACTACTATACTATATAGTATAGCATAGTAGTTAGTAGTTAGTGCTATCTATAGCACTAACTCATATAGATAGCTCAGGATCATCACCTCTGCCTGTTATAACGATCCATGTTGATTTTTGCATCTCTGCAGACATGGAAGAACACTCTGGACCGTTACCCGGACACTCTCCTGGGCTCCTCTGAGAAGGAGTTTTTCTTCAATGAAGACACTCAGGAGTATTTCTTCGACAGAGACCCTGAGATGTTCCGACACATCTTGAACTTTTATCGCACAGGGAAGCTCCACTATCCCCGACACGAATGCATCCAGGCGTTTGACGAGGAGCTGGCCTTCTACGGCATTGTACCGGAGATCATTGGAGACTGCTGCATGGAGGTACATCTGGACCTGGTTTCACTCTTTTCTCTGCTGGACCATTAAAACCTGTTTCATACATGTCTGTAAAGCTGGATGCCAAGCTATTAAAAGCTAAGAAAGGGTCTTACTAAGATCAAAGCATCGATAGCAGCTCTGTTTCCATGGTATCAGAATCAGAACAAAGCAAATTATCAGCCTAAGTGGATCATTTACAGTTCTGTTCAATAATAAAATAAGTGAGTCCTTTCCTACAAGCTAAGCTAACTGTTCTGGTGTTGAAACAATCCTCCATCCCACCCCTGAGCCAAGGAATGCTGCAGCTTTCAGCTTTATGTCCCTCTCAGGCTGCAGTCCCCTCTGATTGCTTTATAATGCCTGCATCATTTGTAGTGTGCTTACTTTAAATTTTTATTTCCTGCTAATGCTTTGCTTTAATGTTGGACATTTTGCAGCTAAACTCATTAAGTATCTCTGGAGACGAGCTTCATCAGCCCAACGACTAAAGAGTAAAGAACCCAGATGGATCCGGAGAGATAACTAACCGGCGCTGCTCTCCCGCCCCATCATCCAATCCAAACTCATTAACAGTGATGAACCCTCCATAACCCTCTTGGTTCGTCCCGATCATGGAGAGCTGTCCAAAACACCTTTGTAATTGCTGTTAATGAGATATAAACAAGCCTTTTGGCTACTACAGGAAGCAACCCCCCGCTGGCTTATTATAGCAGCCATTTTATATTCAGCTCATTAACTGAGGCGTTCATGTTTTCGTGGTTTAATAAATCACGCGTCCTGTGAGGCGCTATTGAAAGATGAACCTTCATCTTCTCAGCTTCATCAACCTGATCATCCTTGAAGTGTTTCTGCAGCTACGCCACATGGAGCCGATGACGGTGTAGGTACCCGATCTGCTCGGGGCCCTCTTACGACGTCATTATATGGCAACTCCACTCTGACAAACTATATAGGACCCGTTTCTTAAGGATCAAATCTCATTTGGAGTCTCAACATATTATTACCTATATTTGCTATTATTTTACATTTAATTGGCGATCTAAAGTAGCTGAAAGTAGAAAACGATCATTGTCAGTCTTGATGGAAAACACTAACCTGACTCCGCATATCCATCTGGAAACCTTCCGTTGAAGTAATTTTGGGAAGGGCCGAAAATACTGGTTAGCTGATTGGCCTATGTTGGTGATAGACGGGCCAAATAAACCAATCAGATCTACGGAGCATATGACGTACTAACAGAGCGACGACGAAAACACAACCACAAGCCAGGCTACTCTTGCCGAAACCAGTCGGGAGAAGAGCAAAAACATATTTTCCTCTGAGAAAAGCCTCCAGAGCAGTGTTTTGCTCTTCTTTCAATGAAGAAATACTCTGTAATTGCGATAAAACTTGCTCGAAAGCCACGCTAACGCTAGTTTCATCGGCTGAAGCCGCCATGTTCTTTAGACTGAACTGTCAATATGTAAAAAATTTTCAAATGTTCAAAATTCGGTGCTAAAAAAATTCATTGTTTATAATTCGGTGTTCAAAAAAAGGCAGATTTCAATGAGACTGCTGTTCTTCCATAACCCCCGGACCCCCCTACGCCCCCAAAGCCCAAAGATGTGATACACCGAGCTGTACACCCTATGAAATATTTGTGTTGCGACACCAGAGCACCTCCGCATTCAGTGTTGCATTGAATCCAAATGTTGTTCGAAGACAGTCAAGCCACTTTCCAGCTGAAATACTTGGTTTTTCAAAACCGGGTTCAACCCGCTGACAATCGCCATTTTGCTGTTTTCCCATTTGACTGAAAACTGGTCTAAACCCTCGCTGGCAGCTGCGTGGTCTCTGTCCACCAACACTGCATGTCTCTTGACAGCATCACGCTGGGTTAGCGTTGATGATGTCATCAGTGTGACAGAAATCAGGGAAGTAAACAATGGAGAGCAACATGTAAGGAAGCCAGGGCGTTGTCAGTGTGCTTTATTGTTTCTCTCTATTATCTGTCTGAATCCGTCTCACCAGAGCTGCTCCATGGTTATCGTGTTTCTGCCTGTTAGATCAGAAGCGACCGGTGGTGTGTTGACGTCCGTACGTTGCTTTCAATCGTATCGCGTAATTTAGTGCGTCAACCCGGCTCTGGTGTTCTCACAGCATGCCGATCAGAGCCGAGGAGATTTTAATGCGTGTCGCTTATTGTTCCTGGGTTTAAACAGGCTTTTTGAGGGAAAGGATTGCCTGATGGACCGTCGAACTTGGTGGTTCCAAACTGTGAGGAGCTACACCATGTTTTCCTTCCACCTTCTTTTCTGGGTAATGTTCTTCTTCTCCTCCCCTAAAGGAATACAGAGACAGGAAGAAAGAGAACCAGGAGCGCCTTGCAGAAGACACTGAGGCCAATGAGTCGACGGATGCCCCCCTCCCCCCACACAGCACTCCCAGGGAGCGTCTGTGGAGAGCCTTCGAGAACCCCCACACCTCAACCATGGCGCTGGTCTTCTACTATGTCACAGGTTTCTTCATAGCTGTGTCCGTCATCGCCAACGTGGTGGAGACGGTGCCCTGCCGGCCTCCGAAGGGCAAAGTCAAAGACCTCCCTTGCGGAGAGAAGTACGATCTGGCCTTCTTCTGCATGGACACAGCCTGCGTGCTCATCTTCACCTTCGAGTACCTAATGCGCCTGTTCGCCGCGCCCAGTCGCTGTAAGTTCATGCGCTCTGTGATGTCGGTGATCGACGTGGTGGCCATCATGCCCTACTACATTGGCCTGGTGATGCCTGAGAACGAGGACGTGAGCGGCGCCTTCGTCACCCTGCGGGTGTTCCGCGTCTTCCGGATCTTCAAGTTCTCGCGTCATTCTCAGGGTTTGAGGATTCTGGGCTACACGCTGAAGAGCTGCGCCTCTGAGCTGGGCTTCTTGCTCTTCTCCCTAACCATGGCCATCATCATCTTTGCCACTGTCATGTTCTACGCCGAGAAGGGCACCGCAGGCTCCACCTTCACCTCCATACCGGCCTCCTTCTGGTACACCATCGTCACCATGACGACGCTGGGGTGAGTGGGCCTCGGTTTGCTTCTAGGTTTTATTCTGCTGCTGTTACGGCTGTTAGGGTTGTCATGGCGACGCTGGTGCATGCTCTTTGGTGTAAACGGTGGGTTTAGTGTCAGGACGCGGATTCCTCTCAGTTATTGGTCCTGGTTTCCACCATGAAAAGGGCTGAAGTGTGTGTTTGCCTCCCACTCGCTGCTGCTTGAGTACGGCGGTGTGTGTTGGCCGCCCACGCTCCAAACCGCAGCCAGTGGATCAGTGTGTGTGTGTGTGCGTCGCCTTCAGCTCGGATCTATTATCTGCTGTGTGGAAATATCACAAGCAGAGTGGGAGTCAGAGAGCGGCCATCAGCTCTGACCGTCCTGCTGCAACATGCATCCACGTCTCCTCTCGGTGCGGGCCTACCTGTCTGCCAGCAGAGGTCAGGAGGTGTGAATGGGAGGGGAGGAGCGATCTGCTCTAAATGACTCAAACGGTTCAGTGTGTGCTGAAGCAGCAGCGGCGTTAAAACGCTCAGAGCTGCGAAATGCTGATGCATCAGGAGCAACAACAGGCTTTTAGTCTCTGTGTTGGTGGATTTTTACACACTAAGGTCCTTTTTACACCTTAATGCTTCATGTCTACAACAGCAGGAGAGTCGCAGGTTGGGAAGTTCTCATGATGCTAACCTGTCTCAGGAACTAAAAGGTTCCCTCAGATTTCTCCAAGCTTCTTTAGTTGCAGAAGTTAGTGGAAAATTGTGTTTCTGGCAATAAATTATCTTTAATTCCCTTTAATCTATTTTTTATTACACAGTTTGTTCTCAGTCTCCCTGAGAGTTTTTTTTTGTCTGTTATAGATCTGTTTGAAAACTCTGTTTTTCGTTCTGTAGGATTTGGTAAGAGATTGCACCAAATTGATGCTCTGACTGAAAAAAATCAGTCGTCAGTTTCTCTGACTGGGTTCCCCTGCATTTAACTGATGCATCAGTCAGAACCTAAAGAAAGTTTCTCCACATTTATGTCAATCATAACCTGCAACAAAAATAGCTGCTGCAGATTGTTTTACGCTGAAAATTAAAATCAAATCTATTAATCGATTTTCCTGTCTGGATGCAGGTTTTGCTGATTATTTCTCTAAGGAGGACGGGACCTGAGGCTATAAGATTAGAGAAACAACAACATTGATCCAGAAATATTGTTTATACGGGTAGAATTCCTCTGAAAGGCGAAGAGGCGTCAGGTGTGTTGGTTCTGAAAACCAGATTAGATCTAATCCAGGTTCTGAGAGACGTTCCCTTTAATCCACAGGATGGATGGATGGATGGATGGATGGATGGATGGATGGATTATGGATGGATGATGGTTGGATGGATGGATGATGGATGGATGGATGATGGATGGATGGATGGATGGATGGATGGATGATGGATGGATGGATGGATGGATGATGGATGGATGGATGATGAATGGATGGATGGATGGATGGATGGATGGATGATGGATGGATGGATGGATTGATGATGGATGGATGATGGATGGATAGATGATGGATGGATTGATGGATGATGGATGGATGGATGGATGGATGATGGATGGATGGATGATGAATGGATGGATGATGAATGGATGGATGGATGGATGGATGGATTGATGATGGATGAATGGATGGATGGATGGATGGATGGATGATGGATGGATGATGGATGGATTGATGATGAATGGATGATGGATGGGTGATGGATGGATGGATGGATGGATGGATGGATGGATGGATGGATGATGGATGGATGGATGGATTGATGATGGATGGATGATGGATGGATGGATGATGGATGGATGATGGATGGATGGATGGATGGATGATGGATGGATGGATGGATGGATGATGGATGGATGATGGATGGATGGATGATGGATGGATGGATTGATGATGGATGGATGATGGATGGATGGATGGATGGATGATGGATGGATGGATGGATGGATGGATTGATGGATGGATGGATTGATGATGGATAGATGATGGATGGATGGATGGATGGATGGATGGATGATGGATGGATGGATGGATGGATGATGGTTGGATGGATGGATGATGGATGGATGGATGGATGATGGATGGATGATGGATGGATGGATGGATGATGGATGGATGATGGATGGATGGATGGATGGATGGATGATGGATGGATGATGGTTGGATGGATGGATGATGGATGGATGGATGATGGATGGATGATGGATGGATGATGGTTGGATGGATGGATGATGGATGGATGGATGGATGATGGATGGATGATGGATGGATGGATGGATGGATGATGAATAGATGGATGGATGGATGGATGATGGATGGATGATGGATGGATGGATGGATTGATGATGAATGGATGATGGATGGATGATGGATGGATGGATGGTTGGATGGATGGATGATGGATGGATGGATGATGGATGGATGATGGATGGATGATGGTTGGATGGATGGATGATGGATGGATGGATGATGGATGGATGATGGATGGATGATGGATGGATGGATGGATGGATGATGAATGGATGGATGGATGGATGGATGATGGATGGATGATGGATGGATGGATGGATGGATGATGAATGGATGATGGATGGATGATGGATGGATGGATGGATGGATGGATTGATGATGGATGGATGATGGATGATGGATAGATGGATGGATGATGGATGGATGATGGATGGATGGATGGATGATGGATGGATGGATGGATGGATGGATGGATGATGGATGGATGGATTGATGATGGATGGATGATGGATGGATGGATGGATGGATTGATGATGGATGGATGATGGATGGATGGATGATGGATGGATGGATGGATGGATGGATGATGGATGGATGGATGGATGATGGATGGATGGATGGATGGATGGATGATGGATGGATGGATGGATGGATGGATGGATTGATGATGGATGGATGGATGGATGGATGGATGATGGATGGATGGATGGATTGATGATGGATGGATGGATGGATGGATGATGGATGGATGGATGGATTGATGATGGATGGATGGATGATGGATGGATGGATGATGGATGGATGATGGATGATGGATGATGGATGGATGATGGATGGATGGATGGGTGGATGGATGATGGATGGATGATGGATGGATGGATGGATTGATGATGGATGGATGGATGGATGGATGGATGATGGATGGATGGATGGATTGATGATGGATGGATGGATGATGGATGGATGGATGATGGATGGATGGATGGATGATGGATGGATGATGGATGGATGGATGGATTGATGGATGGATTGATGATGGATGGATGGATGATGGATGGATGGATGATGGATGGATGATGGATGATGGATGGATGATGGATGGATGGATGGGTGGATGGATGATGGATGATGGATGGATGGATGGTGGATGGATGATGGATGGATGGATGGTGGATGGATGATGGATGGATGGATGATGGATGGATGATGGATGGATGATGGATGGATTGATGGATGTATGGATGGTGGATGGATGATGGATGGATGATGGATGGATGATGGATGGATAAAGAGATGGTAAGAATGCAGTATGGAGGAGGAAGTCTGAAGATAGTAAAGTGGAATGATTGGATGTGAAGAAGGCAGGCTGAGGATTGGATGAAGGATGAAGGATGGCTGCTGTAATTGGCAGAAGGATGGCTTAAAAGGAAGAGGTGAAGGAAAAGGAAAAAGGTATGGTATGGGCTGGTTAAGGAAGGATTTGATGGAAGGTGGATGTATTATCGGAAGATGGGAATCTGGCTGGATGTAAGTGAGGAAATTGATTGATGGATGATGGATGTGATTGATGATGGATGGATGGATGGATGGATTGATGAAGGATGGATGAGGATGTATGTGAAGTATATAATGATTGGATGGATGGATGGAAGGAAGAAGGATGGTATGGATTGATGTTGATGGAGGGATGATGGAATGGATGGATGAAGGGATGGCAGATGGATTGATTGGATGGATGAGTGGATGGATGATGGTTGATTGATGATGGATATAATGATTGATATGGAGGATGATGATGGAAGGATGAATGGTGGTATTAGATGTATCTGAAGGATGGATGAATGATGGGAAGATGTGAAGGAATGAATGATTGGATTGTATTGATTACAGCAAGAAGTTGTGCTAGTAAGGATGGCAGTATTCTGTGTCATGCAGCAGCTGGAAGCTTGATGATGTGAAGGATGGTCATGTAAGATGGTAAGGCACTTTCATGCAGTGGCATGGAATTAGTAAGTTCATGCAGTGAAGTCAGCAGGCTTGCAGCAATGGAATTGAACATTCAATTCATGCAGCTGGCATATCAGGGCTTGCATGCATATTGGTAATTGTATTGCCTGGAATGCAGGTGTGTGTGCATTCTTGATCTAGCATCATGAATGAATCATGTCACAGTGTCAGGCATGACATTCTTCTTTATGTGCAGGCTGGATTTAAGAATGGTCTATGAAAGCAGCAGTCATGCAAGCTGCAGATTGAATCATCATTCTTCAAAGGAATGCAGGCAGGCTGGAAGATGGATGATGTGATGGATGAATGGATGATGGATGGCAGATTGAATGAAGGATGGAATGGGATGAATGATTGAAGATGTATATTGCTGTGAATGGAATAAGGCTAGGAAGGAATGGAAGTAAGCAGGCAGGATGGAATGTATGAAAGTAATAAGGAAGTAAGGATGGCTATTGCAGGTAAGATGGAAGTATGAAGGATGGATATGGAATGGTAATAGCAGCTGGAAGGATGGCAGTGATGGATGGAAGGGCTGGATGAAGGATTGATGGTGGCTTGAAGATGGATGGATGGATAGGATGGAAGGATGATGGATGGAAGTAATGATTGTAATAAGGATGGATGTGAATGATGTTAAGGAAGGAAATAATGTGAATGGATTGGAAGGATTGAAGGAAGATGTGATGATGAGAAGGAGAATTGATGGATTGAATAGTAGGAAGGAAGTAATT